TTGTGGAGTTCAATTCCGTAAAAGCCTACACGGCCTTGTCTCCTGCTAGTCACCATCTATTGAAGAGACCATTATTAAGTCAGAAAAAAAATCCAGGTGTGTGTTTGTTTCCATGGCACCCATTCAAGGATCATAAACAACTTTTCCAGCGGAACATAGTTGTCCCTGCATCTACAACGCGTAGTTTAATGAAATTCATCAACTGCGGACACTACCGGGCTAAATTTGCGCAATATTTTGTGAAATCTCGTAAAAACCGCTATAAAACATTTTATGATAAAGCCTTGAAAACGTTTTTTCAGTTTACAAGTGTGTTTTTAAATTAATAGTCCATTTAAGACCGTTTAGTCACAGCGTAATATAAAATTTAACCGTCATCCGTAACAGGCATTGAAAACTTCAGCTTCAACCTTCAAATTGAAAAGGAATTAACCGTTAATCGCGGAAGCTAACCCCTCCCCCCTTCACTAATACCCTCTTAAGCAGGCTCTGTTGACTTTTGATAGCTGTTAGCTTGCGAGTGACAATTACTGTTGTTAAATTAGTAAGCACATTATTGCATTTTAGCAATATTCCCGATAATAAGGTGTTGTTGGGACTACCATTTACTTCTTTCTTGGAAATATATCGTAACATTAAAATTGTGCTGGTAATTTTTTTAAAATGCGATTCGAACAGTAATAAATCTATTAATTCATACACATAAATAAAAAAAGGAATCCAACAGATGACGGTTCCCCGCTCGAGAGTTGTTTGCAGCTAACACTTATGAAGTCATTTCATGCGTGTTGAATTTTTTTGGGAATGTTTTTTTTAAAAGTGATGATTTTTTTGTCCCTTTCTTTTACAAGAGCACGCTATAAGCTATTGAAGAACTCTCGTGAATTTGCCTTGGTGGTGTGGGCTTTAATAAAATGTTCACCAAATATAATAGAAATGGTAATCCAATCTTAATTTTTATTGCTAAGACGTTGACGGCTGATTACTTTGTCCTATCTAAAATATAAGAGGGTGTGAATCTTACGTACCCACTAATCATGTGATCATAATGATCCTATGTTCCCACTAATCCTATGTTTCCATTGATCCTATGTACGTACCGACCCTACGTCCCCACCGATGCCATGTTATCACTGATCCTATGTTTCCACAGATCTTCTGTGATCACTAACCCTCTGTTCCCACTGATCCTTTGTACCTGCTGATTCTATGTTCTCACAGATCCTATCTTCCAACTGATCTTATGTTCCCGCTGAGCCTGACGTCATATCCTTAAAGGAAAAGCAGATGGGGTGCATCTGAAGAATCACTTGCTTAGGAGAAGACGTTTTAGTCGTTTTTCCGACGGGATTTGACAAGACATGATTCGGAAAGTGATAAAATTGTATCGCCCCACTGAGTTGTTGTTGTGAGTCCCATGGAGTATACACGGAAGCAACAAGTCGAAAATCTCAAGAACACACACCGGAGTTTTTCCAGGAAACCCACTGATCTTATGTTTTCACTGAACCTATGTGTCTAGTGATCCTACGTTCTCACTGATCCTATGTTACCATTGACGCTACGTCCCCATTAATCCTATGTTTCCACTTATGTTATGTTCCCTCTGATCCCATATATCCACGGATGCTATTTTCTTATTGATCCTATGTTCCCACTGATTCTATGTTTTCACAAATCCTACGTTCCTACTGATTGTGTGTTCCCACTGATCCTACCTGTCTACTAATCCTATATTCCCACTGACCCCTTTCTGCCACAGATCCTGAGTTTCCACTGATCCTATGTTCCCAAGAATCTTAAGTGTGTTTATTAGGATATTCTAAGTATATTCTATGTACCCACTGATCCCAGGTATCTACCTATCCTAAGTTCTCACTGTTTCTATATTCTCAGTGGTCCTCGTTCGTACTGGTCATGTTCCCACTTAACCTACGTGTCTAGTGATCCTATGTTCCCACTGATCCTGTGTACTTGGTGATCCTATATACCCAGTGATTCTATGTTCCCACTGATTCCTATGTTCCCACTGATTCCTATGTTCCCACTGATCCCTATGTTCCCACTGATTCCTATGTTCCCACTGATCCCTATGTTCCCACTGATCCCTATGTTCCCACTGATCCCTATGTTCCCACTGATCCCTATGTTCCCACTGATTCCTGTTCCCACTGATTCCTATGTTCCCACTGATTCCTATGTTCCCACTGATTCCTATGTTCCCACTGATCCCTATGTTCCCACTGATCCCTATGTTCCCACTGATCCCTATGTTCCCACTGATCCCTATGTTCCCACTGATCCCTATGTTCCCACTGATCCCTATGTTCCCACTGATTCCTATGTTCCCACTGATGCTATGTACTCAGATCTTACATTCTCAATAATTCTATGTTCTCACTGATTCTATGTAACCATTGATCCTTTTTACCCTCTTATCATATGTTCCCAATGATTCTATGTTCTCTCTGATTCTATTTACTTACTTATCCTAAGTACCCACTGATCCTATGTTCTTAGTGATCCTATGTTCCCACTAATCCTATCTTTCCACTGATCCTATGCTCCGAGGGATCTTACGTTCCCATTGATTCCACGTGTTTACTGATCCTATATTCCCACTGATCCTATATTCCCACTGATCCTATGTACACACCGATCCTATGTTCCCACTGATCCTCTGTATCCACTGATCCTGTGTTCCCATTAATCCTAAGGTTCCTCTGATCCTATGTTCTCACTGGTCACTATGTTTAAGTAATCTGATCATTGGTTTGTAACTCTGGAGCAATATGCTTCTAATAAGCCCTGATCAGAGACAATAATTCTGAGAACTACTTGATTTACAGAAAATTTCTACAGAGACTCAATAACTTACAGGAATATTGGGAACAGCCCTCAATTACAGACACCAGATGGTTTTCTGTGCTCTTGCTTTTTCCTGCTTTAGCTGGCAGTAGCACTGCTGGGCATGTTGACTTCCTAGGGCTCTACCTCAACTCCAGCTGTGGTATGGTAAATTTTCTCTTTTAGGCAGTGCCATATTTTATAGCTTGTAACAGAGCATTGGTTTCTCTTCCCTTCTTTTTTGTTTTGTTTAATTGTGGTATTTTTTAATGTTTAAGTTTGTTTTCATTTTTTGTCTTCAGTGTGGAAACAGGCTCACACTAAAGGCGCACACAAGTTCCTTGCAGCTAGTAAATGTCGGAGATCTCAGTTTTGGTCCACCCGGAGGCAGTTGCCAATGTCAAGAGGAGACCCCTGCCTACAAGGATTGAAGAGCCAGGTGGGATTTGGAGTTTGCTATGAAAGGGGAGCAAAAGATTTAGAAATGGTAACAGGAGTGAAACATTTTTGCTGGCTCAGTTCTGAAAATCCATCTGATACATATACATATACATATACATATACATATACATATACATATACATATACATATACATATACATATACATATACATATATATATATATATATATATATATTGTGGGAGGAAAAAGACAAATAAACTACCAGTTCATCCCTACAGACCTGTTTCTTGGTTGCTCACTCATTAGGGGATTTAATGAGAAGAGATCTTTACCATCGCTTATATACAATATGATCTAATTTATGCAGTGCGGAATTTAACAGTTAGTTGTTGTGTAGGAGGGCTTTGTTTCTGTGGTGGCAGGAAGACACGAGTTCATTACATTTGTTTAGTGCAGATAGTTCGGGTCGGCAGATGATTAAGAATTTTTCTTTTAGGCAGAGATTACATCTTTTACTTGAGCTGTTGTACAGCGAGTGTGATGAGAGAATGCACCAGAAAATAAAGTGCTTGATGTTGTTGTCTTTGAGGGTCCAGATGTGCTTGCTGAGTTTGGTGGAGTTTTTGTGATTAGCATGGCGGAATGATGCGGTGTGGTTTCTGTATCTTGTTTTGAAGTCATTCTCTGTGAGTACGATGTATGTTTCTGCCATGTTGTTGCCTTTGCGCATGTTGTTGCCTTTGATGGTGGCTTGGTAAATTACTGATGGTTGTGGGCAGTTTCCATCGTGTGGACATGCATCCTTTTGTCAGCAGTTGCATGTCTTGTTATTAATGGTAGTGGCAGTATCATGAGCCTGTATAGATGCAGTTAGGATGCATTTGTTATGGTTGTTGATTGTTTGTTTCGTGTTGTTCATGCAGCTGTAACTGATCTTGATGGTGTTTCGGTTGAAGATTTTTTGAGCTTGTGATCTTTGGGAAAGTGTTTGTCTACTAGGGCGAGGAATTTGTGTCCGATGTTGGTGCTGGTGTTCTTGCTGAAAGGAGGGTTGTACCAGAGGATGTTATTGTGTTGTCGGTTTTTCCGTTTGCATGTTTTGGCTGGTTCGTATTGTAGTGTGTAGTGGTATCCACTTTTGTCGAGTGCTTTCTGGTATGGAGGGGCCCTGCATACCAGAAAGCACTCAACCAAAGTGGATACCACAGAAACAAAGCCCTCCTACGCAACAACTAACTGTTAAATTCCGCACTGCATAAATAAGATCATATTGTATATAAGCGATGGTAAAGATCTATTCTCTATTCTGGTATTTTCTCCATAATGTTTGGTATATGTAGATGAGAAAGAAATAAGATAAGCTCTTGACTGATCCACCCTTTTGATTCACAATCAATGTTTTGGCCTCTGACCTTTGGCCTTCTTCAGGTGGGATATACAAGTTAAAAACACATCTTAACCTAAGAGAACACTATAAGAGAGATTATCTAAGAGGCCTAGCTCATTTTGGTAACACCCTGTTTTGAAGGATTAATAGTTAGGCTCATGCCTTTCGCCAATGGGCTAAAACTCCATGGCTAAAGGGTGGTTGAGTGCCAAAAGCAGTGGATTGAGAAGGTGACTAATTGACATTTCAAACACCAGCCTGCTAGGTTTTGGCTTAAGGGTGGGGGAGGAGTTTTACAAAATTCATCTTCACTCAAACAAATGTCCATAAATCACAGTTTTGCAAGGGAAAACTTCCTCTTCCACTCATCAAATTTTATTGATACATTTGTGACTTTAGAAACTGACAATGATCATGAAATGGCTGACATCTTTAGGGCAGACAGGCATAAAAATTGTTTTTAATGTAACTTTGAATCCTGAGATATCCTTATTTTGCACCAAATTTCAAAAGAAATAGGAAAGCTTATTTAGAGTTAACTTCTTGCAAAGTCCCATGCTGTTATCCTGCTTGTAAAAAATGTTTTCTTCTAGTATTTACACACAGCAAAACATTGAAACTTAACAGGCATCAACAAAAAGTTTTGCTTGATGCCTGTTTGTCATTGACAAAGTGACTCCAGATTATATCTCTTATCATTGGTTCAGGAGGTAACCTGAATCCCAAATCATTGTTTTGTGTTCTTGGGAGACCTGTGCTTGTATATGTGTCAATCTTTCAAGCTGACATGTTTTACATCCTCAAAAAAGTTAAATCTTTATAATTTAAGGAACAACTCTTAAGCATTATTATTGTATATAAAATAAAACCCAGGCTTCACATCCTTGGCAGTTCTCCTCTTTATGTTTCTCAAGTTACCTTAGTTAACTGTTTGTTTACTTAAACCATTCACAGTCTTTTAGCTTGGTTTGCACATCTTGCTCTCCTTCACAGTTCTTAGAGGACAGTCTTGACTGAGTACTGTAACTCACCTCTTATGAAGACTGCTCCCCAACTGAGTCACCAGAGATTCTCCATTTTTTACCAACTACAATTAGAGAGAAAAACGAAAGTTAACAATCACTCACCAGACTACAGGTAATCAGTGGTGGATATTTATTGACATTTATGTAAATAATTGTTTTTGTCCATGCAACACAAGAACCAAAAAATTAGCCAAAAGTTAACTCTTGATGCGTGATTTTGTTTTTTCAGCTCCCTGGAGGTGAATAGTACTTGCTAATCACTTCAATCAACCAACCAATCAGTATGCAGTTTATACAAATGGAAAATGCTTCCAGTAGTCTTTGTCCTGACATACACTTCACACATTTTTAAAACAGTCCTCCTATGCGATTCTCTTTGTGCAGAAAGTTTGGAAACAAATCCATGAACTAGAATTTCCTAATAGCTTCTAACCCTTTAACTCCCAAGATCTCATTGTTAATTCTCCACTCTAACTGCTACACATTTCCTTGTAAATTGGTTATGAGAACTTGGTGCTAGATGAAAATAGCAGCTTCTACCTGATAAGTTTGAATATTCTCATTACCTGTTTGCTGAATATATGTATGGATATTGTGGGGAGAAGTTTTATGCTAATCACTCCTGGGTTAACAAATACTCTTGTGGATTAATATTTCCTTCCCCAATTCCAGAAAAGTTGAAGCACTACCAAAAACTTTCGTGTAAAAGCAGCAAAAAACTCACTGTTACAGTAAAAAAAAAATCAACTTCAATACTCCAAACTTTGCAGAGAAACTACTCTGCTGCGACTAGTGGTTTAACTCCAGTTTTGAACATCGTTGATGTCATTTGTGTGATCAGCAAGGTTAGAGACAATAGACAGTTGTGGTAGATTTGTTAACTTTTTCATGGTAATGATAAAATTTTGTGGTTTTGAAGTAACTCCTCCTCTAAGAAAAGGCTTTTAACCTACATTAACAACTTTAAATCAATACTGTAGTGTATCTAAAAGAATGATAATAGCCTCAATTACCAGAAACAAATGATTTAATGGCCACAAATCCTATCAGCATTGACACAACTGCTATAATAGCCACCCTGAAAATAGATACATATTAAATAGTGTAACAAGTTGGTGTTAATAGCAGAGCTTGCAGAGCGTAGCCCCATTATTGAATAGTAGTAACCCATCAAGCCAAAAAAACTTGGATGTACAACCGTACGACTGTACAAGGTGCTACTTTTAACATGCGTGGTCAACTGTACTGCAGGCACCCCAATGCCTTGGCTTTGTCCAATAGTCCAGTGGTCAGTGCACTGGGCTCTGAGTTGGATGACCTGGGTTCTAATCCTGGCCAGGGCAAGGCGTTGTGCCCTTGAGACATGTGGAAAAAGAAATGCAAGCTCCACTTTTAGGCTTGGCTAAATCTATATATTGGTTATAATTGTAGTGAAGTTTATATGCTTTATGTTTCTCTTCTCTACATAAATATTTTCACTGATTTTTGCCAAAGCCAGAATTCCCTGAATGTGGGAAAATCATATGAATTATGAGGAGATTTTATGAAAAAAAACTTCTTGATTGTTTTCTATGGGAAAGTGCACTTCTGTAGTGTATTTTCTTAGAAAAGGTTCTGTTGATGGGGGCCTCGAGTTCCTTATCTTTTCTATTCAGAGAGAGAAAGACTGAATTGTAATAGTATAAATAACCCTTAAAAACATGCTAGAAGAATTTAGGCTCAACCCAAACTGAGAGGCTTTTGTTGGCTGGAATGGCTTGATGTGACTTTCAAATTCAAACCACTCAGAGTTATAAAACTAACCTGCATACTTGTGTAATTCAATTAAGTTTAGTTACCAGAAAACTTATCTGTGAGTTTAAATGAAAAGACATAATAACCAATTGCAAATTTCCCTGGCAAACTGATCTAAGTTTTATGAAACAAGTAATTAATAATTAGATTATGAGCTCAAGATTTCTATCACATGATAGCTGATGAACAGAAAGCCCCCATCAACTACCAAGCATAGAAATTCAGAGTAAACAACCAAATAGTTTTAATGTATAAATCTTCTAATATTTCAAACTTAATAAGAACATTTCATGGTTTTATTTATTTTGATTACAAACTCCAACTGTTAGGCTATGCACTTTACTCTCTGTCTATTACAGAATACAACTGTAGATAGTAAGAAGTGTCACCAATCAGATTGCAGCAATTGTGTCAGAATGCTAATGCATTTACACTACAGCTGACCTATAATCAACTATTCTTCATCAAAGTGGAGGTGAATAGAGGTGGATATTCACCAAGCTGCAAGCTGAGGTGAATAGTTGTTTCAGTATATACCATAGAGAAACCATATATAACTTATAAGTCGTTCTTGAAGAACAAGGGGTAATGCAACTAGAATTACAAAGTGGTGCCATGATCTGTAAATAAGTCGCCCTGCATCCTCTAGTTTGGCCAAGTGTTAAACCATGTTAAATAGTAGGGGCTGGGAATACACATGTCACGGGTCGTCATTTTTGAAGGTAAACCTATAACCAAGACGGGGATACATTTTGCTACTACACCGGCGTTAACCCTGGGGAAGTCAATGAAAAGTGCCTTTACAATTAAAACGGTAAGCTACGCTACCTTTTTTCACCCTTCCTCAGTAAGGATGTTCTTTCTTGTGATCTCTGCCACATTTGAATATCGACATTCTTAGAAGGCTTTTTGGCTGCAGTAAGACTATTGGCATCGCTGACACTGTGCCTCATGCTAGATGATTCACTTGAACTTTTTTCTGAACTTCTTAAAATACTCTGGATATCAACCTTTTCCTCAATGGCGCTCTGCTTTTTTCTCCTTAGAATCTTATGATGATAATTTCTATTGTAAATGGCTGGCCTTCGGATGTTCTTCGTAATCTTGTCTAAGCTGGTTGACTGACCTCCTCTGAACAGTTGAGTGAAGGTTGCCATTTCTTCAAAAGTAACTAGTATCCAGTCTTACCCAGTCGTCGCTTCATGAATCTGTGGTAGAAGTAAAAAATCGAAAAGCAGCAGGTTAACACCGAAACAGCAAATTCCAAACCTATTTACCCAAACTTGTAAAAAACTGAGACCTAATAATCGATTATTTATTGCCACTCTTCTTGAAACCTCTTCAGGTCAGGCTAGCTGTTTTGCGCCATGTGGTAATGACCACAAACGTTGAAGGGAAGGAGATATATCTTATTGTTTAAAGACTGAGAGGGTCAAACCAGCCCAATTGGCAGGTGTTAATGTAGCAAACCTTTTGATTTAAACCTAACAGAAGAGTAGTGGTAAAAATTCCTGATCTCAGCTATCCGTTAAATACACGTTACGTGTATTCCTCGGCAGACTGATAAAAATAACTGATCAAATCTCAGCTATCAGTTGAGCCTGGCGCAGGGACTGAACATGGGAGTCTTATGCACTATTCAATGCACTTACTGAAAAGTTAACAGAAATAGGAGAAAGGAGTGACGGAGTGATAGACGAAAGGAGTGAATTTCGGGTCATAAACACAACTCGGTGGTGGCTTTGAGAGGCAAGTGATATACCCTCATAGACAAATCTTAAAAATTCGAAAAAGAATACTTTCACTAAAGCGTCATAAATTCTTTCAAAGTACAAATACTTGGAAATGGACGTCGCTCGAATATGGGAGATGAGAACAGTGGCAATTCCAGTAGCAATGGGGCTCCTGGGGTAATAAGAAAAGATACTCACAAGCAAATTGAAGAAAATCCAGGAAACAATTCTAACGGGAGCTGCGCTCATTCTAAGAAAGTGAAAGAACACTCCCATGGCCACTTAGAATCATGGTTTGGTCTCGGTCGTAGATGACTGTCGCAGTCAAATTTATTAATATTATTGTTATTATGATTATTGTTATTATTATCATCATTATCATTATTGTTTGCAAAGATAATAGTAATTTCTAGGTCTGTTCGCCCTCCTATCATTTGTACCGAGGTATCCAAGATGCGAGGTGTGTTGCTCAGGACTGGTATTATATCTTAAAATGCGACGATTATTACAACGTGCGAAACCATGTCAAGCTCGCCGAATCAAGTATATGAGATATGTCCCACCTTAACGAGTTGAACCCCAAAATTTTCAACGTGTTCCTGAGCCATGTTTTCTTTTTAGGCCCCTTCACATGACCCCGGGTTACTTGTAAACTAGCATTTGATAAATATTTTTAACAATTGATCGGTTGGTTGTAGGTATTCGATAGATCCACTCGAAAGGTGATTCGACCACAGTGAGTCCTGATTCATCTCCGGGAATTTTAAAAATGAAGTGAACTAATACCATGAAGAAACAGTAAATTTGATGGTCTAGCAACGGACATAATCATGCTCTTGTATCGAGTTTAATACACAGACAAACCAGGAAGCTAATTTGACCTTACAGCGCAATTGCACCGTCCCTCCACGGACACCTCGCACTCGCGCGGCTCTGTTGTATTTTCCAAGAACGTGAAGTCTGACTGTGGACTCCTGAAGATGCCAATACAAAATGTAACTTGAAATTAATCCCAAAAATCTCAAACTTTAAAAATGATTAATGGTTAACGGTCAAAGCTTGGTATGGGAAAGTAAAAAATAAAAGATACGGGATTTCGGATAACTTACGGGAGTGAGGGAGGTATAAAGCACCAGTGATCCGATGACTACAAAATTCACACTGTGATCACTAATTCGAGGAAGTATTGTAATCCGGATTCAAGCGGCGCTTTGCATTTAACACCAATTTTTCAGTGGATTACAGTTATTTGTGCCAATTGGTAATCTTAATAATAATCGCTTTCGATGGCTAGGCCCTCTTCGACTATTCTAGAAATGCTACATTTAAAAAAATTGAACACTAACAGATATTGGTCTTCAGTGATTGTCTGTGCAACAAATGTTTCAAATCTGGCTAAGGTGGATCCAATAGAACAATTTTGTCATTTGGTCACAGCAAGACATTTGATTCGACCCCAACTAATCGAGTTGTTGAAGAGATTTATTCTTTGTTTAATTTAATATTCCTTATCTAAGATTGTGAAAGATTTTCTGAGATTCAGCGATGCATTCCGTATTGCTGTGCGGTATATTGGTCTTTAAAATGCCGCCTCTGATAATATCGAAAAAAAAACATTAAGCCCAATAAATTAACGTATTACATCAGGCTTTTTAGCGTTTCTTTGTTGTTTATTTCTTCTTCCTAACATCATATTCTGTATCTTTGTTGCTGAAGTACGGAGGGCGGAGAAACCTTTCTCGAGGCCCCATTGTCATGAACGCTTTCACATTTTTTGTAACAATAGAGAGGAAATTTGTAAGACAAAAGATTTACTGACCATAATTATTGACGCCCTGTCTCGCTGTCGCCTTGAAAAGCCCTAATAATCTTGTAAAGACGAAAAATATAAACAAGTTATGGTTAACAGAAAAGCGCATATTTCAGCATCGAAGCGAGACGGTCCACTTGAAACGAACAATAAAATATAAATAATATCAAAATATGAGCTTTTCTAAGATTTAAAATTTGGTTGCCATTAAACGTTAGTAAAGTTGCTGTAGAACGTAATATTTACTGTTAATGTTTACCGTTTCATTGAGTTTGAGTGTTTACTTTGATGAAAGGATTTAAATGGTTGATGATGCCGATAAATACTGAATATATACCGTGAACATGGCCAGAAGAGTTTGCTGTTTTCCGTGGAAGCTAGTTTACTTAGTGCCCGCCAGACTCTTTTATTCCCGCGGTAAACATACGTTGTGGCAAGAGCTTTCAAAATTTACATCGGATGAGAATCTAGCATAGATATTTTGGGACTCAAAATATAGGAAATTCTTACTCGTGAAGTTTCCTAGATTGTTTTAAGGCCGTTCAGAGAAAATCGGAGTTTCCAGCACAAATAAACGAAATTGAATGCAATCATCATTTTTTCCCTTTCCCATCCGGATACACGAACGAAAGAAAAACCTATTAAAAGACATGTCAGAAGTTCTTTAACGCTTGCAAATGGCCTTGCACTTTTCATTAGCGTCACAGGCATTGTCAGTTTATTAAACATTACTTATCACTTCTTTTCGGTTCCCTCCCAGTACGACAGTTTCTTCGATAACAATCAATGTTTCTTTTTGTGGTGAAATCTATACATACTAAACTGAGTTTGTCTACTTGGACGTCATTTTCTCATGCAGTCTAACTTGAACCAAGCTGAAAGTTGTTTGTGCCTGTCTAAGAATGGAAAAAAAGAGAGAATTGCAATTATTTAATTTGGAGCGATATTGTGTTGAATATATGGAGTAAGTCCTTATCGCTGCCTGTACCTCAACCCTTTTGTTCGGCTGTCATCGCTTTGCTATCGTGGTGTGTTAATGGCGTAAGAGGCGTGATATATAGTGCGCGTGAGAAAAGATATGCAGATCTCGAAACATCCAGCCAATAATCCGTGAGCAAATATTTGCTAAGCCTAAGCCTTAGAATATTTGCATTTTGTTTAGAGGGCAAACATCGCGCAAGACGCCAAGTGAAGCTACCGAAAAGCGGTTTACACCAGATCAAAGGGCGCCTTGAGACAACGCCAAACACGAGAAATATCTTTTGTGGAAAATTTCACAACAAAAGCTAGATGAACCGAAGAGAATAGGACTGATGAAGCGCTAATTTCCAAGGAATTGCGTTTCTTTTGCTAATGGCTTTGGCTTAAAAGTTCCATTCACTGATGTGCGAATTACATGCCACAATTCACTAATGAGAGAGCCTCGCTCGTTGATTGGTCGCTGTGTGAATCTGTCAATATCGCTAATCTAATGACAAGGGTGACATGCAATCGACTAAACACTGACAAAACACCTCGCTGAAGCCAGAATGAAATCACTCTTAAAATAGCGGGCGCAATGCATGTAACACGCCGCATCGTGTATGTAGCTTTGATATTTTCTAGCGCGTTCTACGTCGCTCTCAGCAGAGAAAGGAAATGTGAAAAGATCAAGATACCTTTGTGTCAAAGTGTTGGCTATAACTTCACATACATGCCAAACATGTTCAACCACGACACACAGGAAGAAGCGGCGCTTGAAGTTCATCAATTCTGGCCGCTAGTCGAGATCAAGTGTTCGGCAGACCTGAAGCTCTTTCTGTGCTCCATTTATGCTCCTATATGTCAGCCGAACTTTAGGAAAGAAATTCCCCCATGTCGATCGCTTTGCCAGCAAGCAAGGGAAGGTTGTGCGCCTCTTATGCGCCAGTACGGCTTTTCGTGGCCCAAACGAATGAGATGCGAAAACTTTCCTAAATTTGGAAATAAGATATGTGTAGGAAAAAACGAAAGTACAACAACTCCGACGTCAACAACAGCTAGAACAACAAGTGCACCGATATCGGCGAAAGGAGGTGATTCGGGCAATCAGGCGGTCAACTGTTGCTCTTGCAGACCGCCGTTTGTGTCATTAACTGACGAAAAACTTAAACCGAATTTGCGGGACATTTCTACAGGGGGTGTCCCACACTGTGTAATGTCTTGCAATAAAACGTACTTCTCGCAGGATCAAGAAAACTTCGCATCGTTCTGGATTGGACTGTGGGCTGTCCTGTGTTTTATCTCTACCCTCGTAACCTCGCTGACGTTTCTTATCGACATGCAACGGTTCAGATATCCCGAGCGACCGATCATTTTTCTGTCCGTCTGCTATTGCTTTGTGGCTATAGGTTACATCATTCGCTTCATCGCCGGATACAAGAACGTGGCATGCGATTCTCAAGGCTTGATGAGATACGAAACATCAGGACCGGCCGCATGTACCATCGTTTTTCTACTGATTTATTTCTTTGGAATGGCATCGTCACTGTGGTGGGTCATATTGTCCTTCACCTGGTTTCTCTCTGCTGGGATGAAGTGGTCAACAGAGGCCATCACCAACTATTCACAGTACTTTCATGTGGCCGCATGGCTTGTTCCAGCGATACAAACCATCGCTGTCCTAGCGATGTCTACAGTAGATGGAGACCCAGTCAGTGGGATTTGTTTTGTCGGAAATCATAACCTTCAGAGTTTGATCGTTTTTGTTGTTGTACCCCTTCTCGTGTACCTGGTGTTTGGGACGTCCTTTTTAATAGCGGGTTTCTACTCATTGGTTCGTATTCGGAAAGTTTTACGTATGCAGACTGATAAACTGATCAAAACTGATAAACTTGAAAAGCTAATGATTCGCATCGGAGTCTTCTCTGTCTTATACACTGTGCCCGCCACTATTGTTGTGGCTTGTTATTTTTACGAATTTGTAAACAGGGAAACCTGGGAGAGATCCGTGGTGTGTGCGGATTGCAACAATGTAAATCAGGTTCGACCGGACCATTCGGTGTTTATTATCAAGTATTTCATGGCGTTGGTTGTCGGCATCACGTCGGGATTTTGGATCTGGTCTGGTAAGACAATAGAATCTTGGAAAAGATTTTGCAATCGACTACTTGGCAACACACAAGCACGAAGAGAAAAGGGGGAAAGAACTGTAACGGCCACTGTTTGAATAAGCTGACTAAATGTTTGTTTTAATCAGAAATATTTAATACCTGCCGGCCCACTCGCTTGAACAAACCATCGCTAATAAAGGTCTTTTGAATGCACTGTTATCAGCTTATTCGGCCATGAAGTGCATAGTATGCCAAACATTTACCACAGAGCAGGCTAAAACTGCCAAACGAAACAACTTGGGAACGCTAATCCTTCCGGACCATTCAAACTGTATAAAAGTACACGTATGGACCGAAGGAAAATGAAGCACGCTTGAATATTACGTTAAACATTCATGATTGAAGACAAGTAAAATTTGCATAGGCTAATGGATTAAGTTCTTTTTTAAGTCATCCCTGGACGCTTTCAAACGTGATTTTAAAGCAAAGAACTCAATAGAAGCATTTTAATTCATAATTCCTTGGGAAGTAATAAATCCAAACATCTGCGGTGATTACAGCACCAAGCTTTTAACCATCAGACAGCTGACTGAAGAGTTCGCAAGCAAAAAAGAGGTTTTGTAGATACGCACTGGACGTTAGCAATCTTTTCAATAGTCTAATTATGGTGCTAATTAAAGGTCCCAAGAGGGGCGTCCACCTAAGGCTATTAACGCCAGATCATTCAGCAATACGCTGTTTAAAATAAGTTGAGCTGGAGACGACGTTGTTTACAGGTTATATTTTAGATAAGATAATATATTTCTACCGGCAGTTTATCCTAAACAAGTCGCTTCACGAACCAGTCTCGCTAGTTGAAAGTCTCAATGCAAGACAATAACGTCCTAGGTCACATTAAATATCTAAGATTTTTTAACCTATAGTGTCTGTCATCTTTCTACTAAGTGAAATCCCGAAGACTAAAATTTGAGGTTCATGTCTCAACAACAGTTAACTTTAGTAGCTCAGTTGGTGTGGAAACAATTAGTAAAGATGTCTGCGTTTGCCTTGCACATGACAAAGCACTTAACGAGCTCTACGAAAACAAAAGGTTGAGTTGTGGTGGCAAATCCAACCCACTAATTAGCAGCCAGTTCTAACAGCACGTATCACACACCACCCACAGCTATTAATCACTGTCTCGTCAATTTTCTTCATCAGACTTGAAGCCTTGAACATGTTTTACAACTCAAGCTCGTGGTATTGTTTACGAAGCATCAAAACGTCACGACCTTTTAGTTTCAGATAACACAAAATTTAATATGTTTACTTTTAATGTAACAGAACAAGAAAGCGTGGGAGTGATGATACATCGCTACTGTGCACAACGGTTTCCGAGTTGGGCTCAAAGCGCTAACATCTTGAAGGAATCTTCGTGATTAGACTGCGGATAGATGTCAGTACACCTGATAACAAACTCACGACAGCGCTCCAAGTACTTCGTTATGTAAATGATTTCGATTTGATATCTTTGTCACTCTCCTTGAAGCACATAAGAATAGTAGTTATTTAGCTGAAATTCATAGTTTATAAATTCGATTGACGACAGTGACAAAGTGCCTCAATAACCCGTAAAATCGGTCCATTATGCCCGATTATCGAACCATGGACTCAGTTATGCTGTCAAATTATGTCACAAAATATGCAAATGTAACCAAGCGTATCCTCCGGTCATATTGACTTCTGCGGTATATTTATAATACAAGAGTATTAAAAGCATGTATAATCTGTGCAGGAATGTGTTGTTTCAACAGTAGTCGTGTTATCTCATTCAGGGAATCATTCACGCAATTTCAAACTTTACTTTCTTTTCAAAGTACGGTTTTTTTCCTGTTCTAATGAGGTCAGACTTTTCTAAGATAGTTTGGAACAGAAAAGTATAATCTTCACAATTTTCGTCTAGAAATCGAAGCTAACCGTTGAAAGTTGAGCTTAGCTTATTAAAATAAAGCTTCCCCCTCCACCCCGGCCAATGAACTGATCGAGATATTACATTGATAACCCAACAGCCGGCTTAGAATTCTGTTTTCCTCTTACTCAAGCGGTGAGGTGTATCATCTCTTCAGACAACAAATCACGAGGTTAGTGATTTTTCCTTCGTGGGGGAGTTACAACGTAACAGGAGCATTGGAAGACTTCTTGGCTTCAAATATTGGTTACTTATTAGACCGTTAAGTAAGTTAGTTTATCTGTCGCCGGCTTAATGCTAAACTTGGTTTAAATCCCCTTAAATGTCACCCTAAGAAGCTTCTCTATCCAAGGAAACACCGAGTGAAAATGACACGCAATGTAAGAAATTTTAAACCCGCCGCTGATAGACTTGTTTTCTAAGAACGCCATGGCATGATCACAGAATGGCGTTTACTTTCCCTGATTTATACAGTTTTGGAAGGGGTATATCGTAAAATGGTCCTCACAATGAGTCGTGATGAAGAAAACAATCCTTCCTTTGAGATACTGAAAGATAAGAAGGTTTTGAGTACGGATCGGATTTGGACCTTTTTCAACTTAGTTAATGCCGTCAGATATGTCTAACACATAAACATGGTTGTCTCGTAGACTTGAAGGCCTTACGTTTAGTTGTTTTCCGCCTTCGGAACGAAAGTTCATGGACATACGATTATGAATGGTAATGTTTCAATTTTCCTTGGGAAATGAATAACCGTTTGGTGATTTATTTAAGGACTGAGGAGAAATTACTTACTTAGCCATAAGCTTAGTAAGAATTGATACACATTACATAAAATAACAAAATGTGAATGACTGTGATATGAAGAAGGAGTCCGAATCAACAGTCACAAGCGTTCAAATCATTCCGAATGACAAAAAATTGAACCGAACATACGTTGCACGACTAACTTTATATATCCTGGAGCGTCACCTTCAGCCTCGAGAGCGGTCAGTTTCCATATTGTAACTGTTAACGAGATTAAAGTCTATAAAATGAATAGCGACTTAGGAAAACTACACCGCATCCACGAATTATTATTGGAATGACCTAACCTACCGGACTGAAACCACACCTTTATAATCATTCTTTTGCCACCACTGCTACTGAAGATAAGAAGTAAATCACACATTTAAAAGGGCCAAGTTTGTATCGTAAATACTAAAAACTTCATGAAATTTAAATTGAACTTCCTAATCGACTATGATAACTAGTAATTTAATCACTCGTTTAATTAGGTGCAAGCAATAAATTTTAACTAGCTTGCGATTTAACTTTCCACAATTAGCATAAAACGACTGTTACGCATCGTATTGTTACACGAAATATCTGTTTGATCAAAGCAACGCTGACAGTTAAGGTGTATAAAATGAGCTGCCAAGAGGAACAAAACGGAGCTGAAAAGACTCGCAAAGAAGCCCTGAGAGAGATCATGTGATTGTTGCTATTATTGTTATTACATGTAATATTATTATTGTTAATGTTACCATTATCGTCATTATATCATTGCCTCATCATTATTCCTATCATCTTCTTCATCAACATCGTCATAATCATATTTGCTACTATCAGTTAACATTATATGAACGTTGCAATTATGTGGACAGCAGACCTCCTTAATATATGGGAGTTGACTGCACATTGGTTTTCACTAACGAGATGAACAGTTTGCATTTTTCTAGAAGCAATAATAAACTTGTCTAAATCACAAGCAAAACAATTGGCAAAAAAAATTCGACAAACTTAAAGTTTTTTATTTAAAAATACAGCAAATAAAGAAACAAAGATACGAGGCAATAACGTTAAGTTTTTCAGAGAGAACTACAAGCCAAGCTTACTAGCCTAACTCTAGATCTTTCGGGAAAAATATTCCGACATGATTTAGCTATGTATATTAAGACCCTGACTTCTTCACTTTCACTAATTCTTTAAGTTTTTAGCGCCAAGAAAAACTCTCTGCTTTAATACGATGCAACTATTGTGACGAAATTTTAAATGAATAATCATAATACAGTTGGAAATTGAATTCTGTGCTGTTACCATCCAGTACGAGACAGGCTACCAGAGGGAAACAACATCCTGAATGAAAAATAAAAAGAATACATTTATGGACCAAAATTATAGGACTTAAGAGTACAATAAATACCAATTATTTGACCCTCCTAAAAAGCACTCTCACCGAAATAAAATGTCTAAGTGCACGCTAATTTTCCGATGCGAATGCCTAAAAATTTTGTATCCCATTTAGAGCGTTGTTTATCTCTCTTGAAGATCTGTGATTTACTTGGAAACGAGTACTCATTAAAGTGTTGGGGTTTGAGGTCTTCCGCTGTGGTTTGTGGCCTATGGACAACTTCTTTTGATCACAGATACCAAGCAAACTGATACTGACGAATTTGCTGATGGATTTTTCTGTCCGCAAAACATGGATGGAAACTAGAAATCATGTATAGTGCCTTCCTTCAAGTTCTGGGACATGTTTTACTGATGCTCCTTTGCTTAGCATTAAGGCAAGTCTCTTACCTTGTGAATCCTATTCTTTAAATCGACGTAGGCTTTTTCGAGATCATCATTAATGATCACACTGTCAAAATTGCCAGGCTCTTCAGCTGAAATATGGGAAATAAAGAGCAATCAGTAGTTTGAGCTGGACCCAAACATGTGTAATATCTGTAAACAATCTTACATATGTCCCACAATCGCATAATAACCATAAAGATATCACGTTACAGAAACTGTGGAAATTATCTCACTCCCATTTATTAGTCGACAGCCACCGTCTTGCAACTGGAAGAAATTTGCAGTTTTCTATGATAATAGTTCGATGATGAATTAGAAGTTTGTCTACATGTTCTCCTTGCTTTTTTGTGGTAAACGTTCTTTTCAAGTTCGGAAATTAGTTTTGGACCTCAGCCAAGATCGTCTATCTGATGGAAATTTTCTCAGTATGCTGACTAACGCCTTATTGCCTCTGAGGGTCGTGAACTCTGAAGCCCAGTGTGCAGCTCAGTGTGCAGCTCTACACTATGATCACTCAGGAAAATTATCATGTTGGTGACTAATGAGACGCAAACATGCATGTAAAAGCATTAAAAAGGTTCTTAAAACTGTTAGTAATGTTTGCATTCTTTCCGGTTTTGTTTTGTTTTAAAAGCTACCGTCTTAGTTATCGAAAAATAATATCTCGTTTGTACCCTTCAGATTGTGGCATCAAGGTTTTGTGCATTTTGTACAAGTGAGAGGCTATTCCTGATGTCGTTAACTTCAATTTCCCTGAAATATTTGTTTGTTCGAGACTGATTATACAAATCGAATTTTAAAGAAAAATTCCACTGTCTATTCTCATCTTGATCATTAAAACATGGTATCACAAATGCGCTTCGCGGTTTCTCTTTTGTTCAGCAACAAATTAACCTCTTGGTACTTCTCTTTGCATTCTGTGAGTTTTTTTTAGCCTGATTCACAGTCGTTTAGCTACTTTTTATATTCTTCTTTCACCTTAATCACCCCTCTATATGATCTTTATTGCAAGGGCAAAGCAGGAGAACTAAAAACGACCTAAACAGCTGTAAATTAGCCTGAAATCTCACAAGATGCAAAGGAACAAACACAGGGGCGTGGTAAGTTTGTCTTTGAACAAGTTTATTTCAGGTACAGTAAAAACCCGTATATATGAACCCAGGTTTTTTCAAGTTAGCCTCCATAGGTTTTTCTATAAATAGTGTTTACTCTCAATCACGTTCTTAATTTTTGTCTGAAGAAAACAACTTGTATTGGTGGGTGCGGGTGTGATACTGCGCTGTCTACCAGCTTTAGAGTGCCCTGCTCTACATGGTTAACTTGTACACACCGTCAAATATGTTGCACTGCTATGGATGTATTGATAGAACAGTATTGTGGTCTTACAACACTACCGGTGTTCTGGCTAGTTCTGTTACTTTTGTATCGCATGCAATGTACTGTATCAAACTTGAATGAACTCTACATTCTTAAAATAAGAAGTTGCATTGAGATTTTTGCTTAGATGGTTCTTATGAGACAGGTGCTTAACTGCTTAACTGTTTTTAGCAATTAACAGGTTTTTAAATTTTAGGTTCTTATGTGAGGGTTTTTACCGTATTTTGGTTAAGGATGCGACCTTTCGATGTTCATTCTCATACAAAATCTTATGTTTCGCCATATACGAAACGGAGACCTATTTACCGAGGCCCATTGTGCAAACTTTGGCTACCTGTGGTTTCACGTTTGAGAGGTAACATTGCTTCCTCGAGGCAGTTCCCTTTAGGCGGGATATCTTTTTGCCTTGTAAATAGCTTGCCTTGTAGCCTACGTGTAACAGTGCCTTCCCCGCTTCAGTTTCTCCTTGGAGGAGAGGGTAAGGCTACACGGAGGCTTCTTGTCCCGAAACTCAAATCAAGGTACTGACTGGCAATTTATATACTTGGCGAGTTGAACTCAAGTGAAATAGTTATCGGAAGATGGTCATTAGTTCAGGGGTCGAAACAAAACAAAGGGTTAGTACATGCATGTTTCTTTCAGTCCTACCATAAGCTAGTTCCTTCCTCGCTGTAGCTAGTCTCCTTGAAAGCGAATCTTCTGTCTCTGTTCCTCGAGCACGAAGGCGTCTTTCCTACATCAACAACAACAACAACGATAATAAATCTTCTCGTATTGTTAACGACATCATCATACGAAAAATTGTTTCAGGATTAGTACTAAACATTTAATACAAACTCAAGATAAGTTACCAGTTCCTCTAATGTAGGTGTCTTAACAAAGAGATAATAACAATCCATGTCTGCTCTCTTCAAACTAATCACGCCCTGAAAATATAAAGACAAAAAATAAGCAAGCTGACGATCAATCTGAACTTCATGTTTAGTATATTGTTAACACGCCCTATGTTTGAATGCCAACCCTGGTGCCAAGCGACTCAACAAGACAAGTCGGGAGAGATTATCCACTTATCCACACATTAAGAAACCTATGCAATGATAAGCATTGCTCATTTCTAATTAAGTGCCAGTACATTTTGGCTGATTACCCCCCCCCCTCCCCCCATCCCAATCACCAATTTCCTCTGGTTCATCAATCGGTTTTTAGGGTAAATATACATTCTGTTCTTTCTACATAAAATTGTGATTGGCTTTTTCATAGTAATAAGTCAAAACACCTGTGCCTCTGGGCTAAGAGACTTCCCTTTAATTAGGGATAAAGGAGGCGAGAGGAGAGCTTCTGGTGGTTATTCCCAGGATGGTAGAAAAAAAAGCCTAGTTAACTATCGTGCATACAAAAAGAGGTACCGTGAAAGATCTGATATGCACCCCAGAGGCTTATTCACTCATTTCTTTGCGTGAAAAACCTACGCGGATAAAGGCTTTAATCTACAAAAGATTTTGTACAGAACAACAATACCGTTACTTTGTGCTTAGAGATAGAGGGAGGAGAAGGGCTAGAAGCTCTATGAAATTTGAATATCTAAAAGGAGGGTGGATTTACATGAATACAAAGAATATTTACTCAAACAAGCAGTATTGAAAGTCATATGACCCTTGCTCATCAAAGCTTTTCTTATCTCATTCTAAACTCCTGCCCTGTCACATAACAATGGTCTATTTCTTCTTTTGGTCATACCTGCATATCTATGTCCAGCAAGCAAACTTTGCCTTCATCCAAAACATCTTGTACTGCCTTTTTGCTTCAACAAGACAAATAGCAATAATAAATTTGAGTATTTATGGTGTGTGGCATCCTTGCCTTAAGATGCCATGGCCTGTGTGGGTTTGCTTCTTTTTAAAATTAGTTAGAGTCAAGAGAACATGATATTCTCCTGTTAGAGTAGATTAATTTACAAAGAAGAAAGATAACTGGGAGGTACTAAAAAGAAAAACTACTTACATAAGCTGCACTGAGTTTACATGTATCTAGAGGTAAAGTTACCAGTTATTTCAATTGAAACATGTTCCTTCTGTTGATAATCTATTCTGAGCAGTTTATATGTTGTTAGCCTCAAAGTCATCCTACACAACTGATACATGACTAAAATGAAACACGCATGATTCCCTGTAACTCTGAGTTTCATGCTTACGCACTCATCAGACAGATTTAATTATGAGTGCGTAAGCATGAAACTCAGAGTTACAGGGAATCATGCGTGTTTCATTTTAGTCATTTTGAACTGTATTTTGCTCTACACTCATGTGTATTGAGCACTTTCCAACAGCATTTGCTGCAATTTCCCACAACTGATACATGATAGTTTTGAAGGAATTGTATTTACAATTGAAAAATACATGTTGTTTCATTGTGAAATAAGACTCCCTGAAATGGAGAAAAAATTTAAATATTGGTATCCCATTACAACTCACCCCATAGAAAATAAAATGCAAGCTATATGAAATACATCTGCATCTGAGATGATCTTCTATAGCAATATGTTCACAAGCTAGTTTATGAGTTTCAACAAGCTATGCTCAAAAGCATCCAAATCATTTATTTCCTCCAACACCAAACAAAATAGAAAATTACAATCACATTGTAGTGCAGGTTACAATCTGCCCACTATATTACCTAGTTCCATAAAGATTTTGATTGTAAACTGCTGACTCAATAAATTCACCAGCATTAATACTCTTCTGCATCACATTGCGATCAGTAAAGTGGTAATCTAAATGCAAAGAGAAAACTTACCTAGTCAAAGAGTGGATGATGTTAAAACAATATCAAAATAATTAGTTTATCCCTAACATGTTAAAAAACTGATCTGTTGTACTTATCACAGTAATAATCTCAAATAAATAGAATTTAAAAAAACAAAACAAAACAAAACAAAACAAAAAAACCACATCAACATTGTTGTGTACATCAATAATGTAAGGTGATTGCATTTGTTCCATCAAACTTTAAACCTTGGAACCTTTATAGAGTTTCATCATTTAAATGTACTGGGGCTCACCAAAGGTCTTTGATTTGTAATAGCTAATAAGAACAAATCTGATTTCCCATGTTTGTATTCTGTAAAGGGCAATGGTAATACAGGATTAAATCTGTCACCAAGACTAAAACTTATACTTCAAGAAGAAAATGTTCTTTTTGCAGTGTGCATTGGTTGGCCAGTGAAACTTATCACATTATACTCATGGAAAAACTAGAGGACAAAAGTATTTTACTTTCCTGAAAGACAAGATATTCAAAACTTGGACTAAATGTTCTTCTCCCCCAACCCCCCCCCCCCCCCCCCCCAAAAAAAAAGGAAAAAAATAAAAATTAAAAAAAATTAAAAAAAGGAAACAAGCCATTCCTGCTATGTGTTACCTTTTCCATCTATCTCCCCAGGTCGTGGATGTCTTGTAGTGTCTGAAAAACAATGGCACAAGAAATAATTTTCTATCAAAGAAAGAAAAACAGACTACTTTTGAACCATTCTAGAGAGTGAAGAAATAGCATCATACAAGATCACAAATTTAATAACAAGAGGGAGAGAGAAAAAGTAAACAAACAAACCTAGCTAGAAACCAGAAGCTCATATGCTTCTTTTGGAAACTCAATGTATCTGTAATATAAGGAATCTATTACAAATGCTCACTTGCAGGGAGATTTTCCTTGTCTTACTTTTTTCAGAAACCAATTTTTAAAAATTTTTTTTTTGATCTATGTGTCTCCCTACCATAATGAATAAAGGGTGAGCCATCTCTCCTACCAATGCCTACTTCAATGGCAAGCCACATTCATTTGCATACAGTAACCAATCACAAATACCTGTCACACTACATTACCACTGAAATCACAATATTCTGGAATAGCATATCAATGTTACCCAAATACCCCTACTTTCAACTTCTCTCCTCTAGCATTATGTTGCATTTTGTGTTCTTTAATTGAAACATTGAATGAAGGAGTTCTGTAGCAAACTGCATTTCAATTTGAATTTCATTTCTAAATACATCCTTGAAAATGTAACATACGTAAATGTTTCAGCCCATGTTTCAAAATTTTGATGCCCACTGTAGTCAAAACCACATATTTCTTACGTGATATGGAGAAGCCAAACTTTGCAGGATAATCGTTCATCAACTTTTTCTTAAGTGTACTCTTGCCACAACCACTTGGACCAAACAAAACTAATGATCTGATTTTTCCAACTAATCAAGGGAAAAAGAGACAATTATATTTTTAGCAAAATTCAACAAAGAAAAACAGTACAGATGAGTAATACAAACACACAACCATGTACTTAATTTTGAAACAGTTTTTAACAGGTGGGTTCATAACTACAAAATCATTAAACTGATTAAAAGTTCTAAAGAATTTTAAAAATACTTTTAAATCTCAAAGTGATAAAGAGCACAACTTCTATACAGAAATGCAAATCTGAACCAATGTTATCAAATTGTTTCCCACCAGTAATATGCAGATATCAAATTTCACTTTTTAAATATGTTCATGGCTGGATAGAGTTGATTCTAGATGGATCATAGCTATGATTATCATAAAAATATTGATACTTCTAATAATTGCCTTATTAACATAAAAGTGCTGTTACAAAACATGCCAAGAAAAATACAAGAAATGACTTAAAGCAGTTAAAAGACTGGGCTTAAAAACGAAAAACTGTTACACTAATAAAACTGAAAAAAAATTTTCATTTGAAAAAAATTCAATCAAAATAGGTTGCTTAGTCTCATGTAAGACCTAATTTAACCTTCAATGAGACCCTGTAAGATAAATCCCTCAATTAGGGTCTTTCAAATAAATCACACTGATCAAAATATTAACAATAATGTTACAATAGATCTCATGGAGAATGGACATTACTTAGTATTATTATTTAGTATTGCTGACTTTGATTACAGCATGGCTGCACAAACATAACAATTGATAAGAAGATAATATCATCCTTTAACAACCCCTCTTTTAACCCACACAAGGTTGCAACTGTTTCCTATTTTCTTTACTCTGTAAAGGTATGATATGTTATCAAACAAATTTAAAGGAGGAGAGAAGACAGAGAAAAGTGACTATTGTAAATGATCTATAAGAGTGAAATCAGAGCTTTCACTCTAGAACCAACTTTATTCTATTGTCTCTTTTGTTCCTAACACCTGCAGCTACAGAGAAAGAGAGATGCTGTTTTGATATGGTTGCTTGTGTACTTGACAAAAAACCATTGAAATAGTCATTTCATTTAAATGATTTTCCAACTTCTTTATATGACTATATTGCTTTCAAAATCCAACACAGGTGAAGTTCTTCCACTGCTATTTCTGATTTTTTACTAAAAGGTCTCCAATTTGAAATTTTGACAAATAGCTTCTACACCAACCTCAATATAAAAGTAAAGTGAGTAAACTGATTTTAACCAGTTTCCTATAGTAAAAACCCAGTGGTGCGATTACAAGAAATAAGTGACATTTCATCTTGTAAAGTGGTACTTTACTACAAAAACAGTGGGAAGTTTTTAAATTCACCACATCTTGTTGAAATCATTGGTTACTACATGCTCTCATAACTACTGAAAACTGCATCAGAAAAATTTCTTAGAAAACAATGAAAGCCGCTGCTTTAAATTTTAACACCAAGTTAAATTCACCTGATTTAGAACTTGATCCCAATATGTGGACAAGAAAAATGGGTCTCATAAAGTACCAGGACTTCATACAATGATTCACTTTTGCACAATAATTTGCCTCAAATTTGATACGGTTTCACAATTTGGTAAAAAATAACCAGATATAGGATACGGAATTCAATAATTCAAACTTTAAATAAAAACTATTCCTGATTGAAGCTTATTCACATTGTCCAATAATTTCTTTACATACATCACTTGCTGAAGTAAAAAAAATACTTGCTGTTGTACGTAAAGAAAGATCCCTGTTCGTTGATTTGTCACAGTTTCCGTTGTACAAATTCCTTCGATAAATTCTTCCTCTTTGCGTTCTGCCGAGTTTCCTGCTGTAAAATTTCGACCTAACAGACAGTTCAAAATCTCGTCATTCTGAAACGTCGCTGTGTTCTACTAAAGCTTTCAAGATTTGGCTCACCAAGACAACAGTGTGGTCAATGGTATGGCTACCGAGCAATCGAATGTGATTTGTCTTTTTCATAAGTTTTGTTTTGTTTTTTGGCCTTTTGCTCGTAAATTGCCTGCTGAACACCAAGGAGGAGGTTTTCTACCACTGGCATCTAGTACAAGGTAAACTATAATATTACTAATTCCATTTAGGAAGCAATGTTTTAAATTACCGTGGTACAAATAAGTTTTTGAACAATCAACAACGTGAAAAGTGAAGCAACAATGTGCACGGTGCAATTTACGGTCATCGCCAAGAGGAAAAGAAGGAATAAGAAAAAATTAAATGTAAACTGTATTTCCGGCAGATTGTTTCTGACTATTGAACAATCACTGTCGATTGATGAGTGATCTGTTGATCTGCTATTTACCTTTTCCGGCATCTCTGTGGCCTAGTGAAATGTTAGGACTTACCTGACATTATAAGGGAAGAGAGCACTGTCAAAATCCACGCGCACAACTCTTGTAGCCCTTACTCTTTCCAGGATGATATAGTTATTTACTTCTAACCTAAAAAAAAATTCTTCAGAGGATTAAAATAACATCATGTAATCATCATTGAACTGTCCTTTGCACTATGTCGGAAGCCGGTCGGGCATCAAGCTCGTTCTCAGGGTCTCTCTTCATTCTGACTACACTCACGGGCGACATTCAATTTAGGATGAGTCAGTCAGTCTCTTATTATACACATCCTTCTACAGTCTTGACATGTGTTCTACAAAAAGAACCTGTCCTACGCCAGATACGAAAAAAACACTAAAAAACTACACTTTGACCATTCTAAACAGCATATGACAGTTTGCGGCCTTTCCTTACATCTAGGCAGTTCAGAAAGCCGTAAGACACTAGAACAAAAATTTATATTCCAAATCGGCACCCTTAATCCCCACGGAATCAACGAGCGCTTTTCATTCAACTAATTTATTCCTGTTTCCTCGTCACCATATTCCCACCAATGGCGTAGCTCCACTTTCTGCATATAAATCCACACACAACCCACAATTCCTCTAATCGCTCTGACGAAGGGCTAACGCTCGAAACGTCAGTTTTTTTACCCTTTACGGTGGCTAATTTACGTTTTCAACCCAGTTATTAACACTAAATTACCTGCTATACTCTCCCACCGACGCAGCACCACAGTTTCTTTAGAAACTTACCCCTTTATATCATAGGGATCCCGGATGAAAGGATTCGAGGTATGCCGTTAAACAACAATCGGCTACAATTTGCACAAATACATTTGTTTCCAAGTTCTTTCAATCATGTTTTCGCTAAAGAAGAGGACTGACTTCCTTCAAAGACGCCTCCATTGGAAAAACACTTGTATTTTTAATTTCGATTCAAAAAACAACTCAGTGAGATGCACTGCAGACGAATCCCGTGAAGGTTTGGAGCAACCTTTAACCAGTCTTTGAGCACCTGTTTTGAAACTATTAACATTATCAAAAGGTTACTTGGTTGGCTGTTTTTTATATTTTTCTGTGAAAACGTTGTTGTAATTGAGTATAGATGACTTTAAGGTAGTGACCATTTATAAACGGCGTTTTCAAACGTTGCATGCATTAATATCTTCTAAGAGCAAAGTTGCAGCTATCAATTAATTTGTTTTAGTATCAAGTGTCATAGCAAAGTAATATTGAATATCAACAATGAAGAATTTTCTGTAAACCTTCGGCTTCCATTGATTGCCACTCTTTTTTCGTCAAGGGCCTCGAGAATAACATTCCAGTTGCTGTTAGGGACGTTTTTATGGAAATCTTGCCGTCCAAGTAACCACACGTTGTTAATCTTTCTGTAGCGTTTTTTCTCTATCAACAAGCTCGTTATTTTGCTCCGATAAAGTGTCAGATTTTTGTCCTTGTACATTCCTTTTGTGCGTCCCGTTGCTTCTCTTTCAGTATGGGATCCCGAAGAGAAAATTTGAACAGAAACAGATTTGAAATTTCGTAAAAAAAGGTTGTGCTTGTTTATCGTGGTAAGGGACAAAAATAATAAAGAATTAATGTTTGTCTCACGGTTTGGTCACTCATGATGTGACTCACCACGTTTGACTGCATTCCGCTAGTCTTCATCAGGCGATGAGGTCGACCGGTTTTTACTGTTGTTATAAAGCTGGACGCTTCGCTGTAATTGGTTCGTTCTTTCAGAGCTGTGATTGGCGCGTTTCAGTCCTCGATGTTGGTGAGTTGTTCCCTCGGCGGTCCGTTATCGCACGGCCCTCCGGTTTCCGTGGGCATCCACATCAACCAGTTTTTGGTTCTTTCCACAGTTGTGATTGGCGCATTTCGATCCTCGATGTTAGTGAGTTGTTCCCTCGGTGGTCCGCTGTCGTATGGCTGCCCGACTGCCGCGGGCATACACGCTTTAGGAAGTTATACTCCATTGTCCACGTTGATATCGTCAGGGTAAAGTCTTATGTGAATTGCCTCTTTGACCTTGCGAGTGTGCCAGTGAGGATCACGATCGATAACTCAGATTTTCAATTGGTTCGGGCTTTGTATATCTTTGCCTTTACTTTTCGGATAAAAAATTTCGTTAGGACCGGTTTTTCGCCTCTCTTGTGTGGTATGTGTGGTATTAAGATTTCGATATCATCTTCCGTTATTGAAACACCAAAAGCTTCGGCAATTTTTCCTACTACTTCGTCTATTGACACCTTAAGTTGTCCGTAATACCATGAAATTCCAAGGATTCCTCTCTAGAATCTTGTTCATATTATCTAAGCTCACCTCAATATCTTCTAGCTCGTCTACATGTTCGTTCATGTTCGTCGGCTCATTTTGTTCAATTTTATCTCAAGCGACGCTGTGTACTTGGTTTGTTCAGCTCTTCTTTAACAATTTATTTACTGTACCTTCGACTTCTAGGAGTTATTTCTGGATGTCTCTCACGCTAGGTTGATTTCCTTCGTCAACTGCTCGCTCGTCAACTTCCAAGGAAGATAAGCCTGATATCTCCTCACGTGGCTTCCAGGTCGCTTTAAAACACTAATGCCCCATTCACACCAAAGCTTAAACATGTTTAAAAGTTGTTTTGTTAAACACGGTTTAATTTTTTTTTTCTTCATAGAAACTATTTAACCGAATATTTTTGACTTGAATGTAGCACATTGGAAATGCAAGTTAGCAAGTACTTGAATCCAATGGAAAATCAAGTTTTTCAGTTCTCTGTTTATAATTTTCATTCAATGAAAACCAGTTTAACAAAACATGTTTTGCTGGTGTGAATGGGGTATAAGTTTTTCTTTTTTGTGTTCTGTTTACCTTATAGGGGTAGGTAGGAGTAGATAATCATGATATAATTGATATAAAAATGCCTAAGAAAGAAGGAACGAATACTTGAGAAGGTAAGTTCGTATAAAAAAGTGATATCCAAATCATTTACCTCACAACAATTATTGTTTCCAATCCTTTCAGCTAATTAGTGGGTGTATTATTACATTCACCTGGATCATTGTCGCGCTCCGAAAAGAATAGGAGCTTTTGGTTTATAAATACAGATATGTATAATTACTCGAAATAACACGTCAAGCAGTGTATATAACTGGAAAATAACAACATGATACTGCGAGATATAACCTAATTTGGCGTCGCTCTGTTTTTATAGGCTGTATTTCGAAAATCTCTCGATCAGTTACTTTCCATGCTGAAGGCTATACCTCGATCTCAGCCAATCAGGTCACGGATATCAAACATGTGGTCGCACTGAAGAGATGTCTACATTACATGCAGAAGAACAAAGGAAATGGTAATACAAGAGGCAAAAGGAAGGTTTGAACTCAGATAATTCTTTTCAAATAATATTTTCCTCTATTTTCATTCTAAAGAAGAACATCTTTGGGCGAGTCTATCACCATGTCTCTGCTGTATCTGTTATTTGGATCTGGATAGTACATCAAATTCAACACATTTCGTTTGACTTCAGTTAGGACATATGTATAGCTAGTCATCGGGATTCAAGAGAAGGAGTAAAATGAAATCAAATACGACATATATGAACAATATCAGTCTAATTTACTTTGATACAGTGCCTTACAAATCTTGGTCAAATTACGTCAACTAAACGCTTGGCTGACTTTGTGTTTAAATTCTATCTTCTCATGACGTTATGATTACCAGGGAGATAAAAGTAATGCCCAGTCTCTATGTTGTTATTTTATTAAGGTCAGTCAGTATAGTTATTCCTATCTTAGCCTGCGAACTGTAGCAGAACCCTCTGAGCATTAAAATCCGAAAAGTTGGTTCCTCCTCAGGAAAATCGTATTTTACAACTCTTTTGAATTACTTTGGAGTCTCCCAAACACGTAACGAATCTCCTATGTCTCTCGTGCAGTTTGCCAAGTTTCACGGAGGTACATCTGCGTTTGCTTTTTATAAATCGGGTAGAATTTCTCGTCAGAAAATTGTGAATTTCTTTTTAGAACGTATAATGATGATTTCCTTGACGCTTTTGCTGTTAAAGAGCAATAATTCTTAAGAACTGCAACTGTGTCTCATCAAACTTTTATGTATGTATTCGTTCTTTTCTGTCTCTGAGACTCACAAACATTTTTTAAAGGTAATTTACCAACACATGAGGTTACACAGCTGTGGTATGTATATTCAGGAGTTTACAATCTCTTAGTATATTATGTTGGTTTGGCACACAACCCTGGTTTGCCATTTTAGTTTTCTTAATTGATGGCGCTTCTCTTCTATATTATACTTTATGGACAATTTGGATCAAGCAGGATAAGGCAATGATCAATTTTCAGGGAATTACTTTGGGAAATATCATAAGGAAGGGACAAACTGTACTCTTTTCCTTACTGAAGTATTATCAATATCCTTTGGAATGTGCTCACAATGACACTGAATTAAAATCATTCTAATAATGGCTCACTTGATGACTCCCTCATATATCTGAGGGGAATTGTTTGAGAACGAAAGGTCTTCTGATGATAAGCTAGCTCAGATATTTTGCTTCAGTTGACAAGAGGAGAAAAAGCTACCCTACCTTTCATTGTCAACCATGGCAATCTAAATTTGACGGGTATCAGACAACTGCTGAGGAAGTCCAAGGTAAACTTCAATTCGTATTTTCAAAGTGTATTATGAACCATAACATTGTTTTCAGTCACTAAACGAGAACTAGCAACAAAATTGCGAAAGTTTTCTCGTAAAAGGTCACAAGTAGTGGCATCAAAGCAAATTTCGAGTGATTTCATGCCGTTGCATAAGTTACATCTCTTAGTACAATTTGTAGTATCTGAGTGTAACTGAATATAACTGAGCTGCAAGCCGCTCAAACAAAATTTTAGATTCGCGAGCTCCAGTGCTTTTTTGAAATGGCAAGCTATTAGTGCCTCTTGATGTGTGCTGCACAAGTGCGTATACAGTACATGCCAATTTAGGATCATTGTCATGAAACAGAGTACATCGAATGGTAATCTCAATATCTTTCTAAGTATCAATATAATTTATTTCCAAGCTTCATAGAAATATGAGAAAATCACACCAAATATAAAATACATCATAGCTTTACAACATTTCAAATTTTGT